ATTTGTTTACAAAATTTAATATGGTTAATTTGCAATTACGACAGTTTAAATTTGATTAAAACAAAGTCCATCTTATCAGCGTTTCTTGCCAGAGTTAAACTAATGAAGCAAAATATTGGACGGGGCGAATTTTCTCAGTTCCCCAATTTGTCACAGACAAGCTGCCAGGAAGACGACCTTTCAACTTACGTTCAACATTTAAATAGCCTCTATTCAGATTTTGAATCTAGGTTTGAGGATATTTTGACTACGGTAATACCACCGTGGATAATTAATCCATATGGTGACATAGAAGACACGAATGTCATAATACAAGAGGAACTGACTGAACTAAGTACAAACGAAGAACTTAAGGTTCAGTTTAAAAACGGATATCAGCAATTCTGGCTGCAAAACAACATACCCGTTACTTATCCCGTATTATGGAATATAGCGCGGAAATTTTTAATTTCCTTTCCATCGTCATACCTAGTGGAAAGGGGGTTCAGCGCTGTTTCCAATCTCCTAACGAAAAAAAGAAACAGACTGGACATCATTAGCCGAGGAGATTTAAGATTAACCCTTACAAAATTGACGCCAAATGATCTATTGCTTATGTTATTTTATTTATAGTTTATTTTATGTTTATTGGTGTCTGACCAATAAATGCCCGCATTGGGAATAAGTGCCTGCATTGATTTTTTTAAAGAACCCCCCTTTATAGAAAATATTTTTTTTTTAAATTATTCTGAAAATTCAAGGATAGGTACACACTAAAATTCGTTAATTTTTTGCCTATTTTTAGATAACTTAAACGTATAAGAAGCGGAATTTAATCAAACTAACAGTGAAATTATTGTAGAACATACGTTTATGTTATAATTAATAAACGAACTCGCTTATTGTACTATTTTAAGTAAAACACTTTTTTTTTATTATTTTTCATTTTTTTTATTTTATCCCTCATATTTTTTTTTTCAATGCGCGCACTTATTCCCAATGCGGGCACTTATTGGTCAGACACCTGTTTATTTAATGTTACGTATATTTTACATAACAAATACAACATTTTATTTTGAGTAGTTTTAATTTAAATTCAATTAATAAATGTATAAATTAACATGTGTTTTTACTTTAAGTTTTTAACACTAAACTTCACTACAGTTAGAAATTTACAGGAAATCAATATCAGGTAAGTAGGGGGTCTACCCAACACGGAAAAACATGGCAAGGGGTCTACGACACAAAAAAGTTTGGGGAACTCTGCTTTAAATGAAATAGTGGTTCGGGTTCATTCCGATGAATTTTTTATATGTTATGTGACTCTGAATCCTGAACAAATGCCTTAATGGACAGAGTCCCCAAAACTCAACAGGTCCCAAGATATAGGGTGTCCAAGTCAATATAATATATTGGTTATACCCGAATGTATGCCTTAAGTGAAATAGCAGTTTCGGTTAATTCCTCTGAGTTTTTCATATGTTATGTATCTCGACGTCCTGATGGGCATAGGCCCCAAAACTCAACTGGCCCTAAGATGTAGGCCGTCCAAGTCATAATGAGATTACGGTTCTAGTCTAATATCTGCTTCAAGTTAAAGAGCGGTTTCAGTTAATTTCGCTGAATTTTTATACGTTATGTGACTCGGCGTCCTGAACAAATGTCCTAATGGGCAGAGGCCCCAAAACTCAATGGGTCCCAAGATATAGGGCGAGATTTTGTGGTAACCACGGTAGTTATTATTACCTCCAATGACAGGAATGCAAGACTCATGTAAATTACTGAATTGAGCTTTTGATATCGGAGTGTGATAAGTACAATTTGCATCAGTCAAATAATCAGGATCAAGAGGGTGCGCACGATTTTTTAAAGCTGATTTTCTTAATCGTGTAAAAAATCTACTGACTCCTACATAAGTTCCTCAAACGAAATGCTTTTTCATCGGGGTGCTGTGAACAGATCCGAAATGCTTGAGGGACGTAAAGGGGGCCTGTGGCCATTAAAGTATTTGTTCAAGAAGCCAAGGCGCATAACATATCAAAAATTCAGCGAAATTAACCGAAACCACTATTCCCATTGGCATGTTGCCGGGTCCTTTGGCCAAATCGTTTTTATTTTTGACTGACTTTATTTTAAGAAATGTCAAAAACTAATGGCACTATTTAGGCACTACATAATGGTGTTTTTAAGAAAGTGCAACACTGTGTCTAATAGCAGCTTTTTCTACGACTTCAACGATGTATCAAGTTACATTTGTTTTTTAGTTATAAACAAAAGTGTTTTTTTATACTTTTTCATTACATTTAAGTAGGCGTTGCAAACAAATGCTTGATGTAAGATTGTGTGATTACTGAGTTTAACCTAGTCTGATCCTTATCTCAACCACCCTGTAATACATTATTATAAAAAGAAATTTACAGAAACGTGCACTAATCTAATGTTCTTGTAGGTATTCTTGCCTACATCATTTCTGAAAAATCTCAAAACTATTAGCAAGGCCGCGAACAAAAGGTCCAAGGAATTGGTAATAGCAGAGGTAGCAAAATCGTCCGATGAGCTGGCAACGCCGCAATCCAGGTGACAAGATCAACTTTCAAAACGTATGTCTATCCCGGGGTAACGACGGAGTCATGTAGAATGGCAGTTTTCCAATCTTCATTTGCATATTTTTAAGTATTGTGCAACGATTTCGAGAAAAATTTAGCTCCGGATAGTCTAGTAGAGTTTATTTCAATAGTTGTTTTGCGTGCCATGTTATCTTCACTTGGCCCAACCTACCTTCCAAACATCCAAACACAAATAAAAGATGTTAAATCAAAAAGACAGCAATTAACCGTCATACTTGTCAAAGTCGCCATTTTTTTGGATGTTAACAGTGTTGTCATTTTGTGTTCGGCAGCACCGCACTGTTTCCGATTCCCCCATATGAGTTGACTCCCCATGGGTACAAACGTATAGCGTCATCTCCTGGACGTGAGACGGATACAAAATTGACAACTTGGCAACGCCTATATAAAGTAAGGAATCAATCACAAAACCAAAAACTAGCGAGAAAGGAAAGCACCAACTAAACATGGATTTTTCCATTCTACAGGAGGCAACCGCGCACACGCCCAACATGCTCCATCCAGAGGCGTGGTTCCCAATTCATGAGAAATTGCATGATTTTTGGGGGAATTTAATCCATCCGTGGAATATCATCCGATATATAATTTCGCAAAATTCTGTGAGAACTTATTTCTTGTGAGCGAAAAACAGCGCAAGTGTGGATCCAGCATTTTGTGTCAGGGCAGGGTCACACGTTCATGTCCAGGAACATATTTGTCTCGGGGAGGATGGTGCGATTAAAAATTGAAGAGCAGGGGGTGGCCCTTATACGGTGTATAATTACACAACCCTCTTATTTCCACCCATTATCGATGCGCTTACAAATTGCTGATCAGTTGCCAGGTGATGAAGATTAGAAAGTCATAAAGAATGGTTATCAAACTAAATTCGTCCAAGGGGGATCATGACATGAGGTCCCACGATGCTTGTCCAGGAAGACATCCATGATGGAGGGAAATGGTGGTTGCGATTCGGACATTGAAAAACAGGGTTGGGATATGCTTCCAGTATATTGTGCCTGAGCGTCTAGGTTTATGAATCACACTTTTTGTGGGTAAAAGGCCTCCGCAAAATGTGTAATTTATAATTTTGCGAAAACAGAAGTCAGTCTGGGCCTATAAGCGAGAGATAACAAGATTTAGATACGAATTGTGAGTCTGAAATTCAAATGTTTCCTAATCCCAAACACCCAGCGAACTCCGCCTTAAATTGCGGAAAATAAAGCCCCCAGGAGGTTAAACTGATAGAAGACGGAGAATTTGGATACGAGGGATGTCTTTTAAGTTTTGCATATACAAACATAGTAGGCCGCGCGGATCGAACGTCAGTACTGAATCTTAACCTCACTCCTTAGTAAACTTGAATTCAAAGTTTCACAACAATACATGCAGTGTTCTCACTACAGTGAATTTTTAAGTGTCACCAAGTCATTAGAAAAATGGAACTCAATCGACGATTCCAGGGTGGGTGCACCAAAAACGGCAGTCGCCCACGAAAACGTCGATGCTGTGCGCAAATTGAAGATAGACATGTGACATATCGCGAGATTGAGGCGTCCTTGAAGATCTCAAAGACCTCAATTCAAAAAAATTTACATGAAGAATTAGGAGTTTCTCGTTGGATACCCCACCTGTTGACTGCAGAGCAGAAAGCAGCCAGGGTTAATTGGTGTCAAAAAACGCTTGACCGTTTCAATTCCGGTAACTCAAAAAATGTGTTCAGCATTGTTAGTGGTGATGAATCGTAGATTTACTGTTACGAACCAGAAAATAAACGACAGTCGGCTGTTTGGGTGTTCCAAGGTGAAGAAAAGTCAACAAAAGAAGTCATCCGTTCTCTAAGTGTTTCGAAAAAGATGGTCGCTACATTTGTGTCAAAAGCGGGTCACTTTGCAACAATTCCTCTTAATGAGTAAAGAACTGTCACTGCGGATTGGTATACCACCATTTGTTTGCCAAAAGTCATCACCGAGCTTCGAAAAATCAACCCCTATAGAAGAATCATCCTTTACCAAGAAAATGCAAGCTCGCACACAGCCCAACAAGGCAGTATTTAACGGAAGAAAACGCGGAATTATTGGATCATCCTCCATATAGTCCCGATCTAAGTCCTAACGATTTCTTTACTTTCCCGAAAATTAAAAACAGACTGCGTGGTCAAAGGTTCCAGTCACCAGAAGGAGCAGTTGACGCATTCAAAAATGCCGTTTTGGATCTGCCAGCAAACGAGTGGAATAAGTGCGTCGAAAATTGGTTCGAGCGCATGCAGATTTGTATTAATCTTCGTGGAGAATACTTCGAAAAACAATAAAGTAATTTAAAACTACCTATTGTGTTGTTTTATTTCCATATGCACAACTTAAAAGACCCCTCGTATCCAAGAATGCGTTCAAAACTGGCATTCAACTCTCTCTGATTTTCAGCTCTGTGGCTTCAAAATAAGCGTGTAGTCACTCCCGGCATCTAACAACGGACAGTGGAAACAGGGAAATGTCAAAAAAATTGACATGGACATGGAGGGGTGCCGTTCAGTTTGACAACGGGAATTGCTGTGATCTCCGGAAAACATCTTCAACAAATAAAATTCAAGCATGTGATTTTGCATTTTTAAAGTTTCTGCAATTTTTACATCAAACATTGATAAACTTGACAGGCTAAACAGTTCACATTACAGCAGTGAAAGGATAATTGTGAAGGATAGTACCTACCTCTATGTGGACTCTGCCTAAAGGTAGAAACGTAATTTCAATATATAGATAGTATACCAAAGTTATAATAATATTCCTTGTTTGGTTTCAATTGTCCAATTTATATGAGTAAGCCCGCACTGGAAGCATTATTAAACCAAATAATTTTTGCTTGATTCACATTTCCCGGAATTTGTTCTGTAAACTTAACAGATAGTCGGGCTCCTGGAATTCATCTGTGACTAGTCATAAAACGGTTTATACATCGGTAAGTAGATACTTTAATCCATTAATTAAAATTCAGGCATGAAGTTTTTAGCTCAAATTTGTTATAAGGTCTGTAACAATTACACAATTTCCAACAGTCATGATTGTTTAAATACCCAAATTTCTCATTACTCATCATGTGCATATTTTCGTATTCTAGTGTAAGCAAAAATTTATCAACTACTGAAAGCAGTAATATTTATATTTTGTAATGAAATTGTATGCACATTGTGTTTATAGAAATTGTGTAGATCAGGCAGAACCTGACATTTTCCATAAACACAGTATATACACATAGTTTCAAAATTCAATTTAATCAATTCACATTTACCGAATTTCCACTGAGCACATCTAAATTAAGCTATAATCTTTATTTTTGGAAAATATTGTTCTTCTGGTTTTTCGAACTTCTAGTTTTGCTGTTATTGCCAAAACCTGATCAAATTAATGTCACATATGTTAGAAAGAATTTTGTAATTTTTAATATTGTATTAGATATTATCTGATAACAATTTGAGACAATATACATTTGATAAGTTATTTTCAATTTTTGGTTGCTCATAAATATTTCACAAAAAATATGCAGAATAAAATTTTTAGTAATTAAATGAAAAACAGCCAGAGAGATCTAAAAAAATCACTAGTACTAGTGTTTAGCATATTATATACAAATTATAAATCAGTGTAATCTACTTCAAAAGGTGTTTTTTAAGTAATTAATAATGCATTTCTAGTTTTGTGTCATATATAATCATGACTAATTTGTTACATATGAGTAAAACTCAACAAACACCTTTTGATAAACTGATGTGCTTTAAACAGAACAATGCTGCCGTGTCTTGAAATTAAAAATTATATAATAAAATGTGATAATGACATATTTGTATGTTTATGTAAATATCAGTAAACTAGTTCCTTAGTTAACAGAAAACAAGGATTGTGTTTCCACCTCTTCATTCTGACATTTAAAAGCAATAGAAAAAACAATTCTTAGTTTACATTTTACATACTTCTGACAAAATAGATCTACCAAGTTGTCAAAAAACAGATTACATGTCTGTAGAAGTTATTTCAACTCAAATAAAAGGCATAAAAAATTCAAATTAGATTTGTGTAATGACATAAAATGTACTAAGCAGTGTTAGTCATTTCTATGTAAATTAGTATTTGAGTGATTCAGTAAACCTCATGAATGCTTATTTAAAATTTTACAAGTATCTATTTGGAAGCCCAATGTAGGTATATCAGTATTTTTTATTTTTGATCCTGAAAATTAAAGTGTGCTTCTTTTTAGATTCAGATATTGAGTGAAAAATTAATTCATGATTTTTTTCAACTTTCCAATGAATTTGATCACTAAAATTGGCTAATTTTTTCAATTGACTAATGGTAGTTGAATCATCTATTGTGGTTGTGTGTAGTTCATCAGACTGGAGCAGCTCAAGGCAAATCCCATATCCCCCTCTGATCCTGGAAGTACAAAACTGGCACCATTGAGCTCTAGCCCCGATATGGATGATGGTAGCAGTAAGCGGCAAGCAACCAGGTATTTTTTTTATCTGATATATTGACTGATAAGCTATATACACTCAAATCAAATACCACTTATGTAATGTGTACGAGAGAGAAGTGTGCAATATGTTTGTTAGAAAGAAATAGAAGCACCTCGTTGTCTAGCAACCTGAAAGACGAGGCCATGAATGGCATGGGTGCACTCTTTCCAATTTGAACCTCGCTATAGGCAAATCTTTAGCAATAGTATGGTTCAGACTCAGTTCATATTTTTTCATTGTCTGATTTGTAAAGTGGAAAACAGGCAACATCTCACATATTTTTCATAATCATTTACCAGCTACGTATCTAAAACATCAGCAAATAAGTCATAAAAAATATATTCATGATTGATATAAAGGGATAACTGTTTAGCTTTAGATTTTGTTTCAGGGTATTTAAAAAGAGCTCTCCTAATGGAAAGGTAAGCATACAAAGTTTGATTAATAGTTGGCATTTTAATGAATTTATCCTTCCCATAAATGAACTGGACTCATTAATGTTCATTAGAATAATAATAATCCGAGATTGAGATATGCTTTTGGATATTATATGACATGTACTCCATGAAAAACCATGTCATTGATTTATGTTTTTCTGTCTTTGATGAGTCTGGCGGTCCTTGGCCCCTGTATCACTCTGAAAGTACCACTCAGATTTCAACAAAATTTTACACATCTACTACAATGTCAAAGATGAAAAAAGCTTTTTAGATTTGGAGAATCAGTGAGTGAAAAACTCATATCTTTTGAGCATAATGACAATTGATTTTTCCAAGTGTCATGATTTCAATTCTGTACTTATTTTTTGACTTCATTCAAGTTTCTATTTCACTTCTTAAAAGTATAATTTTCGTGGACCTACAATTTTAAATAGATTTCTGTCACTGAGCAGGATGTACTGAGTCAACCTACTTGGTCCATTGATTTTAATTGTTATAAAAATTTATTTAGTTTGAATTGCCACATGAAAACAAAACTCAATCATCTACTTGACTCTCTTCAATGCTATTATTATTCGTAATTTCGACGCAAATGTATACACAGTTATAGTTGCGTTTTTATGACTCATTGTTTCTGAAATATTCATTATAATATTCATCCATTTCCTTTGGGACATCCGGCAGTCAATATTCTGAGGTGCGTTCATTTGATTGACGTCGGCAACACCCAAAATAAAGATGCCGTCAAGTAGGTTGACTCTGCACGTCTGTACATCTCACGCAACACTGTCATCAGGTCATAAGGGATTACCCTGGCAAAAGGTAGCCACTCTAAGATAAAAGTTAGGCCCATAATCCAGGTTTGGAAGCGTATAAACATACTAACGCCAAAAAATGCGATTCTCCCTCCCCCACCCACACAACTCTCAACCCCACAATTTCAACCCCTACAAAAATGTTTCTGAAAACGATCAGCCTCTGAAATACCAAAAAACCTAATCTGGTCTTTTCTCGTTTTTTGCTTTCAACTGTGCCGCCACTGGGCAAACTGCGAAGATTTTCCATAGTAGTAACTTTGTGTGAACATTTTATCAAAACCCGAGGGGGTATCACGTAACTTGTAAAGTGACATTGTGCAAGTTTTTTTGACATTTTGTAGGTTTTTCATGACATTATGTAGGTTTTCCTACATGTCAACTTGGAACTAGCTGTCGTTCACTTCATGCTCACTTGTAGAAAGCGCGGAATGAACTATTTGCACACTTTACTTAATAACCCTGCCGGCCAAATTATAGGCTGGTCAATGATTAGCGAACAAACGGATGAGTGACATGGTTTTCTGTAATTAAGGGCCGTATCGTCAGTCGTTCCTAAAACGCCTTTATGGCCTGCTTGATTTTGATAGTCTTTTCTCTCCTTCAGAAAGGTTGGGGTATTTCGAGATTTCTACTGTTCCGTGAAGTTATTTTTTCTTCTTGAATCCTAGGAAGGCTGATAAAACAGATGATATAAATCAAACAATTTGAGCAAACAGATATTTGTGACATAACCTCAAAATAGAGCGCTGACACAGAACAGTAGAAAACCATGAAAATCAAGGAGAACGACTGCCGATACGGCCTTTATATGCCATATAACATCCAATAAAACAATATCGAAATAAGACAGCGCAAGGCAGAATCGACCACTGAGGAAAGAGCATAGATGCTATTAGTTGCAACTGTTAGGAATCTCAGGTCGCGTTTAATAGCCCAGTCACCACGTGATCGCTAGGTGGCTGACGACTATGGCTGTAAAGTAGGTCTACCTGCCATTGACATAAATATAGCAGCTATACGCTGTCTTATTTCGACAGATTGTACTTCCGGTATACAGGATAGTTGTTATGCTTTCGTTTGCTCTCCAGAGGCAAGAGACCAGGTCTAGAGCATGCTGATGAGTAGCCAAGAAGCATGAAACAGCTGTCCATGGTTGGGTGTCTTTTTGCATCATGTTTGGTTCAAAACATAATGTATTATTTAAAATTATCTCCAATGGGATTCAGAAGTCATCATTTACTGCACCTCATCATTTCACAATTCTTGCATACAATAGAGATAGATATTCTATTTTGGTCCACAGCAGTGATGATATGTCTATATACGTACAGAGTGTTACCAAAGTATCTGGCCAAACTACCAGAGTGACTATAAGATGTTGGGGTTTTGCAGGGAACTATCGTAAAACCGTTCTGGTTCTGACAGTAACCAATCGCAAAAGAGTTCTACAATCATGACGATGTTCCTATGCACATAATCAGACCGGTCCTAGGTTAGTTCTCTGTGGAACCCGAACACGGCTATGGTTCAAAATTTTTGAAACATCGACTCTTCAGTTTTAAATCTAACTTGAGTCGAATAAGAAAAACGCATAACTAAAACCAACATCCCCTAAATTGAAAATTCAACAGATTCAAATTTACAAATCTAGATGGCCGTGCCGATTTGAAATTTTAATAAGGCGCTTTACTTGATTGACTTGACCCGAATTTCAGCCAAAGGTTTGAAAACGAAACGTTACCCAGCCTTTATTCATATAAATAAGCTTTTCTCCTTAGGATCTGTCTTACACTGTGTGTCACTGTTAAATAATAGAAGAATGATCTAAAGCTTAGAAAGTCTTAGAAATAAAGTAAAATCAACTAGTAATATAGCTTTAGTTCGTCCGACCACAGACGTCCAACCATGGACAGCTGTTTCGTGCTATTTGGCAACTCATCAGTATGAGTTTAGGTTTGGTCTCGGTGGACAGTGAGCGAAAGTTGAGTAATCTGTTGCTGTTTGCACTCTTGCCTTGCCCGATTCTGGTAATAGATGGCATTTTGTACTGACTTATTACAATAAAGTGGAATATTCGAATAAATTTGGAAGTTCTAATAGGTGTTTTCTAAAAAAAAGCGAAACGTATAAGGAATAATTGGTTGGACTACTCCAAAACTGTTTTGTTTTTTGACGATTTCAGAAGAATCGTTTCATTTCGTACAATGTCCAAGAAATCGCCTTTCAAATTGTATAATAATAACGTATAATGACGAACAACTTTAGGAGTTTGCTTCCGAATACATATATTCAAAATTAGTGTGATATTTCGACGTTTTAAAAAATCATTCAAAACATCTATGCATTTGTGCTAATTCAACAAACGTATTAGAACTTTCTGTCCCGTTTATCAGTGACATTTTACTTATGTTTTTTTCGCTGGTCATTAATGAGGAGGGAATTGATAATATTCCATAATTGGGCAGTTTAACTACCGTTAAATGGGTAATATAATGAACAGTGCGCATTCGTAATGTTTGATAATTTCACTTTAAAATTAATTTCATCGGTTAATTATATTGTTTATGTACGCCCTCACACACAGTTTCACAGAATAAACCTTTGAAATTTAAACACATTTTTGACTACATTAGTTTCACCAGTCTGTCGCAATATCCTAGGTAAAAGAAAAACTCTTCCAATAATAGGAAGAGCAGACATAGGATCTATGAGATTTTGTAAAACTCAAGTATCCTGAAAAATTGTCAACTAGCCCATTTTTATCTATGATTAAAAGTATTTGTGGCTCAATTACCGGGTATTTTGAATGGCCGAAACAGGTAACGCCTGAATCCCAAAGCAGTTATCTGCCACAATAAATTCATTATTCTCTAAACTGGATTTAAGTATATGCCGCATTCTGTTGATAGGCAGCTAGTTTAACCTTGTTCTCTATTGCTGAATTTTGTTATAAACCCCATGTCACCCATGGGTTTATTGGGGTATGTATGTGTTTTGGGAACACAGCTAGATCTTTGGACCCATAAGGACTTGTGTTCAGATATAAAAACAGAAAATGTGGCAAATTATAAGCAGATTTAAAAAGTTTCTGAGATTAGATTACTAATTGTCTCATTTGTTTTCCCAGATTACAGTATATCTCGGAAAAAGGGATTTTGTTGACCACATATCGCACGTTGACCCCATAGGTAAGCTGATTACCTATTTATTTTCCATGTTCGTGAAAATAATCATGTTGCAGATGGGGTAGTTTTAATTGATCCAGATTATGTGAAAGACAGAAAAGTATTCGGTCATGTATTAGCTGCATTTAGATATGGTAGAGAAGATTTAGATGTACTTGGTTTAACTTTTCGCAAAGACTTGTATTTAGCTGCTGAGCAAATATATCCTCAAGATAATACAGCACAGGCCAAGAGACCCTTAACAAGACTGCAGGTAATGATATCGGTGATTCAAAACATCGTGACAAAAAATCGAAGTTTGTAAATATTGTTTTTAGGAGAGATTGATCAAGAAACTGGGACCAAATGCGTATCCTTTCTATTTCGAGTTACCACCACACTGTCCAGCATCAGTCACCTTACAACCAGCTCCAGGGGATACCGGGAAACCATGTGGCGTGGATTATGAACTAAAAGCCTTTGTCGGAGAAACTCAAGATGACAAACCCCACAAAAGGAATTCTGTCAGGTATTTCTCATTTTAAAATTGCCTTCGGTTTTGTATACAGTGTTGTCATACACTCAAACATATTAAATTTTAAAATGTTTTACTTACCATGCCAGTTGGAGAGTTGGCCTGTCTATAGCTCAAAAAATACTGCCAGAATTTTGATTGAATATTTTCCAAAAGTCGACAAACTGAAAATCAGCTAAGCTCTAAGCGAAAAACTAAACATTTTAGAACATCCTCAAACACCAATTTTCGTTATTCTTCGATCTTCTGTTAACGTTTGGGCATAATCAGATTCTTTGAGGAGGGTAGGTATTTTTCAACAATTATAGACCTCGTTTCTGAAGTTTTTTATTATTTTCGGCCACTTTAGATGATCAAACAATTTAGAGCAGAAAAATTTGTCAAATCGGCCTTTTCACTTATCACTAATTACTTTTAAATTATGTCATTGCGAGACAGTCATAATTGACTAAACACATATATTTTTCTGAATTTTGTGATCCTTAAATGTAACACCCATTTGATCTAACCTTTAATGTGTGTTACCCAATCTATGATAGTTCTTCAAGTAGATTGACTTGGTACTTATGACGCATTGATTGATATACAACAGGCACGGACTGACAAATAGACAAATGAAAAATATGGACTTGTGTGCTGCAGACATCTTCAAGCAACAGAACATAAGTCAGGGAAAAATTAAAATGATTTTGGAAGATTTTGAATATCGAAACTTTCCCAGCTGCATTTTGTTGTTTACCTAAATACGCAACTCTGCTCCCATTTAAGCGACTTCCTGTCCTACAGTTTCCGAGATCCCAATGGTGAGGGTCGAATTTGAAACACCCTGTATAGCTTGAAGTGAACCTACCTAGTCATCATTCAAGTCAACCCACTTGACGCATTTTTTGTTATAGGCTGGCGATTCGAAAAATAATGTACGCTCCTAGCAAACAAGGAGAACAGCCAAGCATTGAAGTAAGCAAGGAATTCATGATGAGTCCAAATAGGTTGTACTTAGAAGCATCTTTGGATAAGGAGCTTTATCACCATGGGGAAAGCATTGCTGTTAACGTTCACATAGCTAACAATTCAAATAGGACTGTGAAGAAAATAAAGGTGTCAGTCAGACAGTTTGCAGACATATGTTTATTTTCCACGGCCCAGTATAAATGTACTGTTGCAGAGACTGAAAGCGAGTAAGTGTTATTTTCTGTATTAGAGCTGGGCTGAGTATTACAACTACATTGAAGGAGGCTCAAAGCACATAGTTTTTATTTCAATTTCGAAATGAAATGGTAAGGGTTAAATAATTGAGATGTGAGAATCTAATGGGCTTGGGTACTCTGATATCAAAAATACACAATACTGAATGCCGTACTCTTACACACTGTTAATCACAAATAATCTGAATTTTTGTAATATAAGATTGAAATTTACAGGTGTACAATGAGACCACAAAAATTATTATTCAAGCAAAAAAGACATTCTTATCTACACAACGGGCGGATAGGGAAAATTAAAAATTTATTTGATTACTATTGAGATATTTAAGTATTATCTTGTCTCATTAGTCACTTTTTTGGGGTTACAAAAATCTGAGGGCATACAGAAAGAAGCATTTTTGAAGTCTCCTTGCTACACTACGCGTCAGAATTAGCCCTCACTACTTTGGAAGTTCGTCCCTGCTTTATCTTTTGAGCAACGTTCGTGTGGGGTTGCCCCGAGAAGCTTATAATAAGGGTGTTCTTTAATTATGTGCTGATATTTCAGGATATGATTCCTCGGATAATTTTATGAAGGAAAGTTTTATGAATATACGACCGCATTGGCTTATATTTTTCATCATAGAATGTACTACAATAATTACAGGCTGGGCCATTAAGTTGATCGGATTTTAAAAAACTGCAAAGCATAGGGAAGATAATTTATATTTTCAATAAAGTAGACACATGGGAACACTACCCGTGTCCTGCTCCCGCGTGCCTGTCACGGGCAATGCTGTTATGAAATTCGTACGTTTTTCTGGTCCACCCTGTATTATTTTTAATTTTAGAATGTCATAAGAGGATGTAAAATGACATATTTCAGTATGAGTATAAAAAGCTATTCTATTGCGTCACCAGTGCCGTCCCTGCAAACATGTCATTCAATACAAAAAAATGATACGCCACTGATTTTTCATTGTGATGATTTTTATTAGCTTTTCAATCAAAAACGAGACGTTTGAGGAGAAAAAAGTAAGAGGGGGAGTTGCATGTAGCAATGATTTGTAATGTAAAATATATCACAAGATATGTTCGCAGAGACGCCACTGGTGGGGCAATAGAATAACTGTTTTCACTAAAATACGTCATTTTATATCCCCTCATAACATGGCAACAAAAATATCTAGAGTACTATCGAAGATATTCAATTAAATCAACTTTATTATAACAAATACACAAGCACTGTTAAAAATGACGTCTAGCCAATAGCCAAAATAAGCTATTGTGTACATATACAGGGTGGCCCATCCTTAGGTGGACGGAATATTACTCATAAACAAATACATTTTTGGAAAATCTATTTATGGCATGTTATACATGACATTTGAGGGCACATTTCTAAAACATTAGCAATTATATAGGGTGTCCCAATTTTGGCCTACATACTATGGGGTTTTGGTAATTAGCTACTGAGATGTAAGGTGTTTTGTCCAGAAAAACCGTCCACTTCGGCAACCACTCAATCCGCCATTTTGAAATTTGGAGTGCTAAATTTTGTATCAGAAAAGCTTAAGCACCTCAGCTTTTATCTTAATTGTTACTTTTCCGAATTTTCATTTTTGCTCATACAGGGTGGCCAAAAACGCGAATTGTACTTTTTCTCAAAAATTTCAAATGCATCACCCTGTATATTAGTGCAAGTTTGGATTCAATTTTTTTTAAGCCTTTTTTTGGTATAAGGTTTGATCCAGATAAAATCACTAGATTTTGAGTTATTAAGCTTTTAATAGAACAACACACCAAAATTAAGGAAAAAAATCACATGATCCATGGAAACAAAAGACAAACAGGGGGCTAGTTCCATATTGCCACTAAGAGTACAGATTTGATGTAAAAACTAATAACAATCAGAACAGTATAAATTAGCTTCAATCATAATAGAGAAAAACAACTATAACAACAACATAAACAACTATCACTACTCAAGACCTAATCTGCAAAAACTGTTCGAAAATATCTCCACCATGTTGGATACACAGCAGTAGTCTTTGAATAAATGACCGTTGCACATCCCTCAGCATGTGTTCCCTTATGTTCAGAAAAGCATCCTTAGTCCTTTCCTTCATATTTTCCGGGGTAGATGGTAGATATCTATAAACCTCTTGCTTAAAGTAGCCCCATAGAAAAAAGTACATCGGTGTCATATCTTGTGATCTAGGAGGCCAAGATATAGGCCCACCACGACCGATCTAATGATTGTTAGTCCAGGTGTCCAAATATTTAAGCACACGATTATGATAATGCAGAGGTGCGCCGTCATGTTGGAAATACATATGCGTTCGAGTTTTCAGGTTAACATCCTCCAAAAGCAAAGGCAAATGCTCGATCAAAAAATTCAAGTATTCTGTACCTTTCTAGACAAAACACCTTATATCTCAATAGCTAATTACCAAAACCCCATAGTATGTTATAGCAATTTTCTTCCTTTGAATTTGTTTATCTAAATATGCAATAAATTTTGAGGCCCATTTGAAAAATCACAACTTTGATATGTAGGTCGAAATTGGGACACCCTGTATAATGGAAAATGTTTTAAAAATGTGCCCTGAAATGTCATGTATAACATCCCATTAATAGATTTTCCCAAAGTGTATTTGGTTATGAGTAATATTCCGTCCGCACATGGATGAGCCAACCTGTAGAAATTGCTTCATAAAATTATATAGGAGTAATATCGTGGATTGTTAGCACATAATTTAGGAACATATAAGATGATACAGAATAGTGCCAGGGAAATTTAAGGGCAGATTCACGTAATAATATGAATGAAGTTCATATCAATTGTCGCCTGATTACATGACGGGGTATTTAAACTTTGCTTAGCAAAATTTTGTATGCTGCTGGTTCTCACAAAACCATATCGATCCTGCTTGAAAAGTGTCTTTTGTAGTTTTTCGTTATTTTCATTAAAACAAATGCCAGCCCAATTAGCATTCTTCCATTACAATAGACAGACTGATGTACTGGTTAATACGAGAGTTTATATTTCGAAAACCTTGTCTGAATGGAAAACTTCCAAGAGGCAGGTAAGCCAAGTTTCAAAGAAATGGGTCGCTAATTTGGACGCCAAGTGTACTGAGAAAAAATAATTGGTATTATTTTGCGATATGATTAGATGGGTGGTTGTAACCAAAAGAATATTGTAGTGGCTGTTGCCGGAACTACACTCCGAATAAAATATTTTGCGTGTGGTCTCGGATGAAGGAGAAAAGAGGGGCGGTTTTAGACGATCCGCTTAGGTACAACGGCACCAAAACGTCTTCCACTATGTGAGTGTATCGATAATGTGTTACCCCTTTTACCAGTTGAGAGTTACGAATGTTGTGATTCATCCGCATCAGTAACAGTTGGTAAAATGCTTTTATTCCAGATATAATTTGAAGGACGTATCATTGACTTCTGAATTGCTTTGCTAACAAAAACCAAGGTATCCTCAAAAGCACCGAATGATCATAATTTGGAAAACTTGATTAGTAAAAATACCGTAATATATTTTTTCACTACTAACGAAAGAAATCACCATTATTGACTGCAGTTCTCCACACAAAGTAATTTCTATGCATCTGCTCGGAAAAATATGCATATTTGGTTTTTTGCATAGTCTAAAATCACGTCAAAATTTTTTAAACAAACTCCAAAATTGTGTTCTTTTTTTCGCTCCAAACAAAAAAGGTTCTTATGTTAAGGTCGAAGGTTCACTCGAATACAACCATAGACCACTAGAAATAACCAAAAATGAAAAACATAAAATTTAAAATAATAAAAGATCGAATAACAAATCTCCCAAGTTGTGAAATAGTAAGATTCATTTACTCATACTGAAACAGTATCAATATCAAAATTTGAGTGTAAATAAAATATATATAAAAAGGATCACCACATGTGCCCCATTGTTTTGAATTGATCTAATGTATGTAACGAGTGTTTTTTTTTTCGAGGTATAGAACTTTAAGTTGGCATTATAGGGACTTCGGTTGGCCGCGTGGATCAGAGTGTCGTGCTACTGATCAGCCGGCCGGCCGGGCCGCGAGTTCGAATCTCGCCTTCGCCATGGACGTTGTGACGTCGTAAAGTTGGCATTACTTTTGAAGATGGCGACCGATTTGACAGCTGTCAAGTGATTTAATCTCAGTTTGGTTTCTCAATTCATCATGAATAGACTCACGCCTGAACAACGCTTGCAAATTGTGCAGTTTTATTTCGAAAATAATGGTTCTGTGCGGAATACGTATCGTATCGCGCACTATGTCCATTTTATCGTCGACAAAATCATCCATCAGAGCAGTTAAATTCGATTAACCATGGAACGTTTTCGCACCACGTTTACTCTAATTGATAACTCGTATCTCCAGAGACGCCGTACGGTGCGTACAGAAGAAGCTATTGCTACTGTAGAGCGTAGCATTGAGGAAGACCCGAATGAGTCCATCCGCCATCGAGCTCAGGAATTGGATCTGCGTCCATCCACTTTATGGAAGATTTTGCGGAAGGATCTTGGTTTGCGTGCTTACAAAATCCAACTCGTGCAAGAATTGACGCCAAATGATCATCAAGCAAGGCGTAGATTCGTTGAATGGGCCCAAAACGAGATTGCCGTTGTTCCCGATTTTCATAAGCGAATTTTGTTTATCGATGAAGCGCACTTCTGGTTGAATGGCTACGTCAACAAACAAAACTGCTGCATTTGGAGTGAAGCTAATCCTCAAGTCTATGTGGAAACACCGTTACATCCAGAAAAACTGACTGTTTGGTGCGCTTTATGGGCTGGTGGAATCATTGGTCCGTACTTCTTCAATAACGATGATGGCCAGAACGTTACAGTCAATGGTGATCGGTATAGAGCCACGATTACTAACTTTTTCATTCCTGAATTGAACAATCATGATGTCCAGGAGCTGTGGTTCCAACAAGATGGCGCAACATGTCACACAGCTCGTGCTACAATCGATTTATTGAACGACACGTTTAGTGACCGCCTAATTTCACGTTTTGGACCTGTGAACTGGCCTCCAAGATCTTGTGATTTAACACCCCTAGACTATTTTCTGTGGGGCTACGTAAAGTCATTGATCTGTGCGGATAAGCCACAAACGCTTGACCATTTGGAAGACAACATTCGCCATGTTATTGCCTATATACGGCCACAAATGTTGGAAAAAGTCATCGAAAATTGGACGTCCAGATTGGACTACATCCGAGCCAGCCATGGCAGTCATATGCCAGAAATCATATTTAAAATGTAATGCCACAAGGTTATCTTTCGAATAAAACAAATTCATGTCAATCGAATAATCCATCGTTGTTTTATTGCAATTTTAATTTCTATACCTCTGAAAAAAACACCCTATACTACTGCATTTTAAAGTCTGTTAAATGTCAGATTATTTATAGTTTTCGAGATATAAGCGATTTACTATGTGAAAAAGTGCAAAATATGCAGCTAGCCAAGGAAAAATTCGATGTGTAATTAACAAAATTAACGCCTACTGGCGGGGTAGTATAAAAAATGTGACGCCCCTGGTTCAGATTGAAGTTGTTTTTTACTGATCATATGTTCCAAACTATTTTGATTTTCGGGTACTTTCAGATATAGACCAGGAACTAGGGAGATTTTGAATAACAAAATTCTAAAGTAAGTGCAACAAAAGGCATTTTTGGTGATATTAGATTATTACTCTTCAATGATAAGCTCACATTGGCGTCAATATAAAGCATTACCCACCATTTTGATGAACGCGTTTGATCAAATATCACGTGAACTATTGATCCTATGTGAAAAAAATAATAGAAGCAATTTTATACGGAACTAAATTCTGTACCATTTTGCATCTATCAATTTTTTTCGTATAGTCAACAGGAATAAAGCTACATTCTAAACATGATGCTTTTTTCGGTCCGATCAAAAGATAGCCAACCATGGACAGCTGTTTCGTGCTTTTTGGCTACTCATCAGCATGGTCTAGGCTTGGTCTCTCGCCTCTGGGACAAAAAAGCATCGCAACTATCCTCTTTTCAGAAGGTACGATCTATCACCAAAATCGACCACTGCCGAGAGTGCATAGTAGCTTTTTGTTGTAAATATCTCAGTTCGCGCTTAATAGTCCAGTCATCATGTTCAATGGCAAGTAGATCACATCCAATATACAGCCAGGATCTTCAGTCAACATTGACGTTAAATTTCTCTTAAACTGTTGGCCGTACACGGTAAAATTAGGTGGAATTAAAATGATAGAGAATTTACTTTTGTATAAAAATGGTCTCTGTAGGATTGATATGATAGTTCGAGTAAACGCGTATATTAAAATGGCAATTATAGCCCCTGCCCTATAATGACGCTAATTTGGATTTAACATTCCAACGATATCATTAAAAGTTCTGACGCACTTATTTTAAGAAATAATTCCTATTCACCTGGGGAAGTGCCTCATGTGGTGAGATGATTTGTGATTTTGTTTTTTACACTCTTCATCTTGACTGATCAAGATTGCATAGTTTTTCACTAAAATATTTATTTATTAACATAAGTGACATCGCATTCGACACATCTACACGAAATCATAACGAGTTTGCTTTTCCTGTGTTCACGTCGAAATCGTCTATAAACACTACACCAAAAGGTATAGTTTTTTTTTGAGCAACGAAACTTTTAGATGGCTGAAATGAATTTGAATTCAAGGTTTATTGAATTATGTAACTAGCATTGTCGTATATATTCATTATCATTTGGTAATCATCTGAAAGAATTTTACCAAATTGTTGGAGTTCCCAAAGGCAGAATCAAATATTTAGCAGCTGGTTACCTTTTCCTGTAGGTTGCTATTACTGCATGTTGATACTGATCAAAAATATCGTTTTCGTAAACCTGGCCCGAATTTTACATACACTGTCCCGCAAAATTAACGCCCCATTTCATTGAAAGTTCATTCATGAATTTTTCAGTACCTTTTATTCAGTGTTGATTTTATTGAAATGACACATCAAACATTGTGATAAAGCGGCATGCTCTAGTAGCTGAAAAAAACATTTACTGAGTGAAACACAATTTTGCTGAGCAGTGTAGTATTCAATTCAGCCAAAACCTAGATCTGTTGAAGTATTCGCTTGTTCTAATCCTCATTCGATGAATGAACAATATACGAGCCCTGTCTCAGTGAAGTTGGACCAACTATCAAAACTACGCTTTTTATGAAATTTGTCATATCAGCTAAAACGTATTTTAAAACCAAAATAATAACACGATATTTTTTTTCAATTAGCCTAAAATACTAAATTTTTTTTGTAACAAAGAAGACATATCTTACGAATTCAAAAAACCTGTCGATTAATAAAAATCAACGAAATCAAATAGCAGCAAATCACCACTGTGCTCTATCGCCTTTTCGACTGATTACTGCTTCGATACGTCTTGACATAGTGTCAACTAATGTTTGTCAGTCATCTATCTGGTGTAAAAAACTGTTCTAAATTTCTTGGAGACGGGTTCGCAATTCTGGAACGGTTCTTGCAGGATTAGATCGGAGCTTTTTCTTCGTGATATTCCACAAGGTTTCAATCGGCGACAGGTCTGGACTACTCGATGTCCATTTTAAAACTGAAATATTGTTTTCCAACATCCAATCTTTTACGTTTTTAGCCGTTTGGCAAGCGGCACCACCTTGTTGGAAGATACAATAAATATTGTTTAAACACATTTGGTATTAATTTATTTTGAAGCAGATTAATGTACTTATCATTATCAGCATTCATAATACCTTCCACAAAGTGTAAGTTTGCTGACATGGATCCCCAAATCATAACAGAAGCCTGGAACTTAACTTTTTTTACAAACAGTCATTCTGAAACACTTGTTTGTTCTTTAGTTCTTATGACACGACTCCTACTATCACCAACGCGTACTTCAAATCTGGCTTCATTACTCCAAATAATGGAGTTCTATTGGTTCGGAGACCATAATTTGTCTTCTTTAGCCCACGCTAGTCTGTTTTTCTTCTTAATCTTTGTCAGTAAGGGCTTCTCCTTTGCCTGAATTACAAACAAATAATAAAAAAATAATTTAAGCCTACCTTGTAAGTTTTAAATCCCAGTTTTTGGGAAGCTCTGTGACAAGTTGCTGTTGAAATCGTTCTGGTGGCTGCCTAATATTTTCAATTCGTTATAATTAGCACGCCGATTTTCCATGACAATCGGTTTTTTTTTTTTTTTTTGGCTTTAGGACCTAATCCATGCAGCCAGAAACTAGGTTGTTATGTTTTACATTTCTAATTTATGGACAAACACACGACGTCACAACATCCATGGCCAAGGCGAGATTCGAACTCGCGGCCCGGGCCGACCGGCTGATCAGTAGCACGACACTCTGACCCACGCGGCCAACCGAGGTCCCAGACAATCCGTTTTAAGGCTCTAAGTTGGTATTTGAATAACGCGGGCGAGTTCCAGTTCCGGGTTTTTGAGCAACAGGTGCCGTTGTTATGTACAATTTAATAACATCTCCAACTGTATACCTCGATTTATTAACACTGTCAGCGAATTGAGAAGCATTTTGGCATTTTGAATGCAAGTGAACGATCACTTTTCTTATTTCATCAGATACACCTTTACCTTGAGCCATTTTTAATTGTTAACAGAACCAGTGCTTTGAAAGTTGATTTAATCTTCAAAAATCAGCTTCGTATTAACGTTAAATGTTATCATTTACTTTACAAATCCTACCTTCATTTTATCGAAGCGAATAATTAGACTATTCAACTTGAGTTGTCTCCAGCATGTATTTTGCCATACACAAATAATTTTGCATAGAAAACAATTTCGAAATGAAAACGCTTAAAAAATAGCCGCGGCGGTTTTGTTATCTTTCCATAAACATTTAAAGAAACCAAAAATATAATATTTGGAATAAAATTTGAATTATCCCTCAAATAAATTCACAAATATCACGGTTTGGGGCGTTGGGCCAACTCCAGTGAGACAGGGCTCGTAGTGCCGTAGGATAAGCCATTATTTTTCCAAGTATTATTATACATCGTAATCGTAAATTTAGTCTGGATGATTTTGTAAATATGTGATGAAATTTTGAGTTTATAAAGTAGATGTAGTAACATGAAGCAATTGTTGGCTTCCTTCAACTGATGAACCTGTGAATTTTACCACATGGTATCATATATTTCCCATTGTAGTATTTGCTAAGTAAGCTATCAAACCGCAAATGTTCAATACGAATAAAATAATTGTCGCCAATAGAAGATTTTTCACTTCTCAATTGACAATGAAAATTATTTTTCAAGGGCGGAAGCTTGGTTTTTTTTCTACTCTGAGTGCCTTGAAGGCATATTTTAGAGTTCTTAAAGCTGGATCATTACCATATTTTTCGTTTGCCTCCAAGATAACAGATACTTATATACTCGTACATATAACATTGAAGAGCTTTGTAAATATAAATATTCCTTGCTTGCCTTAAATATGATTTATGAAAGCAAACATTTGTTTGGAATTTGACAGAGAAGCATGTCCCATCGGTCCAGGATTCACCCTGAGCAAAGTTTTCACACTGACACCACTATTAGCCAATAACAAGGACAAATGGGGCCTAGCACTAGATGGACAGCTGAAACACGAAGATACTAATTTAGCATCAAGCACACTGTAAGTATTTTTATTAAAAAAAAATGTTACCTTAATTGGTCAAAACAGCACTCTGCTGCTGTGATCATTTGTCCTGATTTTTAGTATTAATTTTGTAGTGTTAATTCTACAGGGTGTTTTCAAAGTTGAGTCATCTTTTTAACTTTAAGAAATCATTTTCGACGTAGATTTTCATTAGATGTTTGGATGATGGGGCTCCACCACATTTTAGACGAGAAGTTCATGAACATCTATATAATGAGTTTCCGAATAAATTCGTATGGCGCAATGGACTCATTTCTTGGCCTGCTCGCTCCCCGGATTTAACGCCTTGCTGTTTTTCTGTTGAGCTATTTGATAGGGTTGGTGTATCATGAATACTCTGCAAGAACTGCAACGGCGCACTGAAAATGCTTGTGATTTAATTCGTGGACACCAGGATATTATTTTCGAAGCTTGTACAAAGTAGGGGATTCGCCGAGCAAGATTTTGCATTAAATCGAACAAATGGGCACAATTTTGAACAGTGTTTTGTAAAAACGGTATCCATTTAACTTGATAATGATTTTTTTAAAATAATTTTTAATAATGTAAACTAACTCTCTTATTATGCAACTTTTATATAGGTGATTTTTGGTATATCAACTTTTTTTGACGAGTTTTACATGCTGTTAAATAAACGACTCAACTTTGAAAACACCCTGTATAATTTTCAAGAATACTAAAAACCTGGTACTGTACATACATGACGCGTTTGAGTGCCCTTCTTGAGAATTTACTCATACAGTGCTTTTCAAAGGAGTTCCACTACTTATTTCTTGATTGGGTTGAGTTACCCCGATGAAATTCGGTATAATTGATGCACTAATACTTATTTTAGCGTAAACTTTTACTGTCTAGTCAGACATCGAAAATTCCAAGATGTTGTTTTGCCGGAATTAGGAGGTCAGGTGATATTTATTTTGAAGCTCCTTCCTTATCAGTGCTTATAGAATATAAAATATCCTTCGAAATGGCGGGCTGGCAGACAAAGTAGTGCGCTTTAGTTCATTGAATCGCTTATGACTCAACCAATCGTAGTTATTGTAGTTATCATTCTTCTTTGGAACGACTTATCTAAATATGTAATAAAATATGGAACATCTCATCTGAAAAAAACATTGCGGAAATCTGCAGGCTTTTAAAACGGAATGTCCCATATTTTAGTGCATATTCAGATAGCAGTTCCCAGCGAAAGAAGATATGACATGCTATAGCTATCTGATTATTAGTTGTCGAGTTGTAATCCAATCAATGTATAAAAACGCACTACACACTACAATCTGCGAGTCTACCCGTTTAGAAAATGACTTAATATTCTTAGGCTATAAAGTACTCGTAAGGAGGTTCACAATGACCCCCATTAAAAAAAATTCCAGAGGCCTTTCATCTTCTACTTTAACGCTAAAATATAACAGGCGTGCATCAATTTCAGCTGGTGGGGACCTTTTTGAAAAGGACTGTATGATGTCGTATTGCAGAGTCGCCGATCCGGCACAACGTGAAAACTTGGGTATCATCGTCCAGTATAAGGTCAAAGTTAAGCTATGCCTGGGAGCACTTGGGGGGTAAGTCGTTAATCGTATCTTTTGATAGATCTTTTAGTAAAAATAATAAATTTTTTAGGGATTTAGTTGCTGAGCTTCCATTCATACTGATGCACCCAAAACCGGAAGAAGAGGCATCTCTGTCATCTCCTTCAAGGAGAATGAGCAAGGACGTAGGGAATGAAGTAGCTGTAGATGCAAATTTAATACAACTTGAGTAAGTTTTTTTTAGATTAGAGGTTTCCACCCATGCCGTATAGTCGTACTAGGATCTTGTCATGAACGTAGCGTAATTTTTGCTGGTATAACGCAGTACAAACGCGTTTGGTAGACGGCAACTCACAGAGATAGACCCTGAAGGCTAGATCAGTAAAAAACTAGAAAACTAAATAAAAGATAAGGTTCTTTCCATTAATTTCAATTCAAAATAATAGCAATTGAATCGATTATTCCGAAAACCACTTATCTCGTATTTTTTTGAAACATGTTTTCTTTTGCTGAAACCACCTACGTGAGGAGGCTTTTGTCAGTTCTACTAACTGTAGGCAGTTGAAAAATCGGAATAACAAAATTTCTTTGGGATCCTCATAGCAGCCGCGGTGCCCCGGCATTTAGGCTTCTCCCTGCGCGGTATAAAAAAGCTGCTTCGGTGTGAAGAAATAGCTTTAACCCTGTCTTTAACTGTTAAATTTCTTTGACATTTCAATTTTTAGAACTCCAATATTTACATTAAGCCCAAAACAGTCATTTTAAACTTGTGTATTTATGAGTGACACTGATTCATGTATTACTATTTTAACAACTGCTTCTCAACAAGAATAATACATTGGTCATTTTGATGTTTGTTAGCAGTTGTAGTACAGGATTCTTACCACACAGTTCTCATATGCCTTATTCAAATTTGTGAAATATTGTCATTAACATTCGGTAATGTGTGGCAAGGATGCCGTGAAAGTCTCTGAAACCACTAGCACAGTTGTATTGTGTTCAAAGTATAAAGAATACTCCACAAAACATGCGATAAAGAGGGTAAGTATGACCTCCTGATGAAAATGTCGGACACAAGGTTGGAGCTTTTAAGTTATCGAGGTCTAATGTTTAACAATACAGGTTTCTTTCTTTGAAGGCTCTGTATACGTTTTGGTATTCGATTATAAACATCTAGCATGCTGTTCGGCATAAACAAGCCACAAAACAACAATATAAATGGTAATTTCAACAGATATATGCTTTGATATATGTTATCTCTGCTCTGAAGGCCAATTGAAGCACTGTTTACGTAAACATATTGTGAACGAGTGTGCGGTCGGATGTCGAACATTAGTTATATGACTTCGTAAAATTATTTTTGTCATACGATGCTCTCAACTATAATATATGCTAATACCTATGCTTCCTGAATTCTCTTGGAACCTTCATATCTCGAAAACTGTTCATTGTCGAACTTTGTGCTCATGAAGATTAATCTTTATTCAAGTTATCATCTTTTGATGATATATCATGAATCAAATGCAAAAACTAACAAAGAAAAGTTATATGCAGTCACATCGTGGTTATTCTGATTATTTTACAAAATCAATTTTATATATACAAACATCACACAAATTAAAGGGACAACAATAAATAAAAACAAACACTTCAAAACAATGAACAGCTTCATACAACAAGATAAAACCATATACGAACAACGAGAGTCCGTAGTTATACGAGGGATGTCTTTTAAGTTTTGCATATGGAAATAAAACAACACGGTAGGTAGTTTTAAATGACTTTATTGTTTTTCGAAGTATTCTCCACGAAGATTAATACACATCTGCATGCGCTCGAACCAATTTTCGAAGCCCTTATTCCACTCGTTTGCTGGCATATCCAAAACGGCATTTTTGAATGCGTCAACTGCTTCTTCTGGTGACTGGAACCTTTGACCACGCAGTCTGTTTTTAATTTTCGGGATAGTAAAGAAATCGTTAGGACTTAGATCGGGTCTATATGGAGGATGGTCCAATAATTCCACGTTTTCTTCCGTTAAATACTGCCTTGTTTTTTGGGCTGTGTGCGAGCTTGCATTGTCTTGGTGGAGGATGATGCTTCTTTCGGGGTTGATTTTTCGAAGCTCGGTGATGACTTTTGTCCAACAAATGGTGGTATACCAATCCGCAGTGACAGTTCTTTACTCATTAAGAGGAATTGTTGCAATGTGACCCGCTTTTGACACAAATGTCGCGACCATCTTTTTCGAAACACTTAGAGAACGGATGACTTCTTTTGTTGGCTTTTCTTTACCTTGTAACACCCAAACAGCCGACTGTCGTTTATTTTCTGGTTCATAACAGTAAATCCACGATTCATCACCACTAACAATGCTGTACATATTTTTTGAATTTCCGGAATTGAAACGGTCAAGCGTTTTTTGACACCAATTAACACTGGCTGCTTTCTGCTCTTTGGTCAACAGGTGGGGTATCCAACGATAAACTAATTTTCTTACTCCTAATTCTCCATGTAAAATTTTTTGAATTGATGTCTCTGAGATCTTTAAGGACGCCTCAATCTCGCGATGTGTCACATGTCTATCTTCAATGATGAGTTTGCACTCAGCAAGGCATTCTTGTTGCGATAATCTGCGATTTTCTAATAACTTGGTGACACTTAAAAATTCACTGTAGTGAGAACACTGCACGTATTGTTGTGAAACTTTGAATTTAAGTTTACTAAAGAGTGAGGTTAAGATTCAGTACTGACGTTCGATCCGCGCGGCCTACTATGTTTCTATATGCAAAACTTAAAAGGCATCCCTCGTATACATATATAACACACAATTAACTATAAATTCCTGGTGTCACAGAGAAATTCACTAAGGAGCATATTTTTAATTTTTTGTTTGTACAAATAAGTGTTTGATTTTTTAATCCGCCCATAAATATAGATACATCATGCTAAGGTTAAAATTCCCATCTCTTTGAAAATCCCTCACAACTGGTCAACCTGTTTATCCCTGCCATTAATATTATAATCATTTTTTGAATAACAAAACCCCTATTTGCTAGATAAGATGCCCCAAGCTATTATACCACAGGTTACAGCTGAAAGTAGGAAAAGTAGTACATTAATAGTACGGGTCTATCAACGATAAACCGAAGTCTGTTGATGCAAAGCTCCAATGGAGTGATTTTCTGACAAAGGTGATCTATGTGATGGTCCCAACTACAGTTATAAGACAGTTAAGTCCAAGAAACCTCACTTTCTGCGTTCCGATGTATACGTGAAACGGACAACAGTTACTTTTCTCTGTCAGGCCAGTATCAACAAACCACCTATTAGTACGTGTAAACTCAGTTGTCGCGGATGAAGCAAGGGTTTGTACTGCGACAGCATCTACTAAGAGAGCCGTATCATCTGCTTACATAACAAAGTTCTTGCTGTTGGAATCATTTACGTATAGGTCCGAGTATTGAGCCCTGAGGAACTCCAATGTCGCATGTGGTTGAGCGGGATTTGTGGTTAAACATATTTTTCTAAACTTTGCAAATGGGCTTAAGAGGGGTATAGGTCTGTAGTTACTGATGTCCTCGGAATTTCGTTATTTGGGTATAGGGATAATTCTAGATATTTTTAGTTTTTCGGGAAATTTCCCAGTTTCTAGGGATAGCTTCACCAAATATGTTAATGGCTCTAATATCCGCATGTAATATTTCTTCAGTAAATTGTTACTGAAAGCATCATCTACAGTAGAATTTGTCCTTTGCAAATTTGTTATTATGCTTGAGATATCTTGTCCTGTGGCTGAACAAAAAAAGAAGCTGATAAAACTGTTTACATTCAAAGGTATCAGTAAAGGCAGATTATTTCCTTTCAGGTTTTTCGAGATCTATGGGAAGTGGTTGCTGAATTTGTCACAAATTTCACTAGAGTCGGTGATTAGATTATGATTCACATTTAACTCAAGCTTACGTTCTAACATTTCTATCAGACTTGATGATTTTCCAAACGGTTCTTGATTCATTATTAGAATCAATAACCAGATCTCGGTGATAGAGCTTTTTTGCTTCGCTTAATAACTTTCTATACAGTTTTTTGTAGTCATTACAAGATTTTTTAGATCGGGCATCTACAATTAACACTGCAAATTCAGCCAATTCCGCTGTACCCTCTTTCCGATATACATTCTACCGAAAGAATAACATGAAATCTCAAATTGCAGTATAATCATTGATTCATCAGATATAGGTCAAAATTACCCCCTGGGGATTATTCCAGCAACAGCAAGCGTATTGCGCCGCGACTGCAAAATTTATATCGCAACTACAATACTAGTCTACTCCAATATAAATGCAAATTACTTAGCTGATATGCATCACAAATTGTTCCAAGTATTTTCATTTGGTTGTAATATCGATGCAAAACAACTCAAAATCTATGGTTTGTTCGTACAGTAGTCGGTAACTTGTCGGTGACTGTCAAAATCAGAATCAGAGAGATATTACCTGTTGGTACAGTTTCTGACTGTTTGCCGACCGCGAATCCACTGTTCGTACAGAACCTTCTGAGAGATCAGAGGAGACCAGTCAACCAGTGACAGTGACAGGTATCAGAGTATGTCGAAACTATCTTGAGAACCGGAATTGCTTCGCAAAAAGGCATTTAATGATCCATTACTTTTCTCTAATGGACGGTCTGGGGACACCTTCGCACCGACGGACCGTTGGGGATCTGGCTACGCCAACGGGCCTTTGCACCTTAGAGCTCTCTTCCATGGTGTCGCCACGCGATGTGCCTGCCTGACTTCGGCCTCCCAACGTAACCGTGTCGAGATCGTGTAACAATCTACATGAGGATATTTTCTCAGTTCTACTAACTTTAGGCAGTTGAAAAATAGGAATAACAGTTTCTTTAAGCTCCGCGGTGCCCTGGCATGTAGGCTTCATCTGCGCGGCTGCTTAGGTCTAAAAAAGCGATATACCAAGAAGATGAAGACCTTGAAGATCTACTGGAGGAGAGAATGAAACCCAAAAGCCTGAATTTTGTGGAGAAAACAGTGCCATAATTCAACAGCAACAAGTTTTGTAACATTTTCGGCTGAGCAAGTGGCAGAATAAATTTTAATGAAATTCCATTTTAAATATCAGGCAGCGCCAAAGTGCGTTGTGCTCAATATTTTGTTCAACCCGGTAATGGCAAAATGAAGATTATGAATACAGTATGAAAAATCCGAACAACAGAGGACATAACTTTCAAGAACCGTTATTAATACGATTTTTGCGATCAATAATCTTTTGAAATTTTTGGTTACAGTTACGAAATGCGAAACTACGCGATTTTAGTCTTACTCCTATGTATTTTCGTAGTCTCAGTTCTTTTTGTTCATGTTGGGAACTCTGTGAAACTTATAGCTATGTAAGCGGATCTTGATAATTGTAGTTATGTTAAGCTGTTTTAGCTTTTTAGTGTATAACACCCTTTGTTATTCGAAGACGTTATTAAATCGTTGTAGTATTTTTACTTCTTTCTTCTAGCGAGAGTCTGCTTATACAGGGTATTTCAAATTCGGTACTGACCATTGGGATATTGGAAACTGTAAGGGATACGAAGTCGCTCAAATTGGGTAGTCAACAAAACGACACTTAGAAAGTTTAAAAATTCAAGGTACTTCCGGAGAGTGACGGAAAAACTCAATTTTCCCAAAACCGTTTTGATTTTTCCCTGACTTTATTCATATAGGGATTTTAAAATAAATTGCACATTAACATTCCCACGTTTTCTCCTCTACAAGAAGGCATAATCAGAATAGCAACATTATTATTTCTTAAGGAGGCTATATCGCATTTTTGCACAGATCAATAGAGTTTTTAATTTTGATTAAAAAATGCATACTACGTCATACATTGACGTCGCTCTTAAAAAAAAAACAGAATTTCTCAAGTAGACCTTAAAATTATCAGATGTTTGTTTCGCGTTCCAGATTTATCCCAAAATAAATTGCATATTGTCATTGTTACTTATTCTCGGCTACAAGATTGCGTAGTCAAATTTTCAATTCGACATTTGTTCTTTCGACTTCCATCATCAATTTTGTTTTTTCTTACGGACACTATATTGAAATTTTGTACATTTAAATGGATATTTCAGCCCTAAACTCAGTGATATATTTCGTTAGTTGACCATAAATTTGTTGTTTGATGAAAATTATAAGGAAATAAAAAGATATGGTGAAACCTAAACACGAGATGTAAATTCTATTGATGGTAATAACAATAATAACCATGAATAAGCAGAGGTCTCCACAGTCTTCCAAACTCTGTTGCTATGCAAACAAATGAAATCAGATAATTTCAATGCCTACCTAGGAACTTCTGGAATAACTAAGGTTTTGCAATGTGAATGTATGACATACATTTTTGAAATCAGAATAAAAATTATATTCATGTGTGTCAAAATCCAATATGCTGGAGGACAAGAGACGAAACGTCATATTGAAATTCTAATCGTGCCGTCTTGTAGAGGATAAAATATGACAGAGTTGATGTGCAATTTATTTTGAAACCCTACCATAAATGAAGTCTGGAGAAAACTAAAACTATTTTGGGAAATGTCGTTTTTTATGTCTCTTTCTGGAAGTACTTTCAATTTCAAAACTTTCGAAGCGATTATCTGAATACGCAACTTTGCCCCTATTTAAACAACTTCGTATCCCTTAAAGCTTCCGTGATCTCAATGGTGAGGGTCGAATTTGAAATACCCTGTATAGGGAAAATATTATTTTCGCCCCAGCAGAAACAGTCGGACACTCCCTCTCCGTGGGCACCCGTGAAAAAAGCTGTATCACAAAATCTCAGGAATTCGATATTTGTTTTTTTTTCATCAGCTTTGGTTTGGACAACAAGGGAACCGGGAACAAAAACCCTACTATCCGAGTTTCATTAAAAGTCATTCACAATACTTTGTACATTTCTCATGCAAAATCACTATAGACGTTTATTCAGAATTCTTACTATGTATTTACTCCTTCAACTTGTCATTCAATGTGTGGAATCATATTTCTTCGAATCTGTGTTTATACTTTTTTAATGAGAATTGAATGGGAATTACAGAGTAAATCTCTAGAGGAAAATTCGGTCACATTCGGGCAGTTGGACGAAAAATCCTAGATCATTCTGGTGTACAGCAAAAGAACATACCACGACTTTTCCAAAATTGTCTACTTCATTCTGAAAAATTTTACATTCGAATAATTATTTATTTGATTTCGAGCTATGACAATTTACTGACAAATTATCTGCTGAGTAATCTGACAGTCATCAAACAGTCAGAAGTTTCTGTACGAACAGCGGATTAGTTGTCGATAATTGGTCTCAGCTCCCTGAGCCAATTCGTAACGTTCTCATATACGCAATCAATACAGTCAGCGACGTGTCAGTGGCAGCTAACTGCGTAAACTACATCATGACTTGTCGCCGACTATCAGTTTGCTGATCGTCAGCAAACAGGCTGTACGAACAAACCACTAGTTACCAAAATTTGACAGGTCCTCAGTCCTGAATAATTATTGTTAAAAACTTACAGAAACAGTTTACTAAGGATTTGTAATACGATACTCCTCTGCGTTCTTTCCAGTATAATGTAACCTTTAATAAGAAAAAATTTTAAATGTACATATTTTAAGTAATTTTAATTAGAAAAGTTTATTTTGGTCAATATCTCCCAATCTTCCAATATCGTCCTAAGAGAAATTTTTCTCTTGGCTATGGATGTTGTGATTGTCCGTAGGTGGTAGACGGCCTCCGACTGTCGCACGCAGGCGGCGGATCTCGTAGGCGGAGCCAGAATGTGTGCATGTTGCATGCACACGTGTTCCCTCGCCAGAGTCCGTGTGGCGTTCCCCCTTTCCCCTGTATCCCCCTATAGCACCACGGTACCCAATGGGTGTTTAGGCCTTAGGCCTTCGTGGTAGTTGGAGTATAAAAAAAAAATCAAAAGAATACATTTCAAAATTTTCTGTTAATGTTTTGCACTGTTTTTAAATAAATCCATTTTTGAGTGAAAATGATCGATTTTGTGATTTTTGAAAAGCTGTCCGACCTTTGTGCCGGACCCTGCACAAGCACCCTTTTTGTTTTGTGCAAGTGCCCTCATAAATAAATTCATTAGACAATGCAAAACAATTATAGAAAAAAGAAGCAAAGTTCATTGAATTATATAAAACCAACCATGTTTGTGTTAATATTTTGTAGCATAACCATTATTATCAATCACCGCCTGGCATCGTCTCGGCATAGATTGTAGAAGTTTCTTGATATAAGATTCATCAATCTGTCTCCACTGTTGCTCTAAAGCGGCAAAAAGTTCATCCTTGTTTGAATAATTTTTATCTCGTATTTGCTTATATAAGTCATGAACCCTACTGAGTGGGGCCGCGGCCAATGCTTGTTCCGGAAGTTGTTGTATCCAGTATACAACTTCTTCCCGTTCAAGTGATTGTCCACGCGTTAAGGAATACCTCAGTACCGATTGCCGGGTGGCGGTACAAGTCCGCCAACGGGCCACTTTAGGTCTATTTAACATCACTAACACGTAAAAAGAACGTGGTAGACAAGGACCAGTCGACCGAGGCAGTACCACCCGCTAGCTTTTCCCAGGGTGTCTTATAAATGTCCGCATGTTTCCACACCTAAGCTATGCAGTCGGTTATCCTCCAAAACAAAGAAATTAATGATGATGCATCCCTCGAGCACTAAGAACTTCGGACGTAAACTCACTCCACTCTCGGAATGTCCGGGTGGAGGGTGGGCTCGAGGGAACAACATCGACGATAAAATTTGTTTTTCGAACATCTGCGGGATTAACAGCAACATTGATGCTGTTTATCACTACCTGCAATCCAATCGTCCCGCCGTGCTTTTCTTGGCGGAGACAAACATCTCAGAGTCTGCACTGATTAAGTTTTGCACTGTTTTTAAATAAATCCATTTTTGAGTAAAAATGACCGATTTTGTGATTTTTTAAAAGCTGTCCGACCTTTGTGCCGGACCCTGCACAAGCACCCTTTTTGTTTTGTGCAAGTGCCCTCATAAATAAATTCATTAGACAATGCAAAACAATTATAGAAAAAAGAAGCAAAGTTCATTGAATTATATAAAACCAACCATGTTTGTGTTAATATTTTGTAGCATAACCATTATTATCAATCACCGCCTGGCATCGTCTCGGCATAGATTGTAGAAGTTTCTTGATATAAGATTCATCAATCTGTCTCCACTGTTGCTCTAAAGCGGCAAAAAGTTCATCCTTGTTTGAATAATTTTTATCTCGTATTTGCTTATATAAGTCATGAACCCTACTGAGTGGGGCCGCGGCCAATGCTTGTTCCGGAAGTTGTTGTATCCAGTATACAACTTCTTCCCGTTCAAGTGATTGTCCACGCGTTAAGGAATACCTCAGTACCGATTGCCGGGTGGCGGTACAAGTCCGCCAACGGGCCACTTTAGGTCTATTTAACATCACTAACACGTAAAAAGAACGTGGTAGACAAGGACCAGTCGACCGAGGCAGTACCACCCGCTAGCTTTTCCCAGGGTATCTTTCCACACCTAAGCTATGCAGTCGGTTATCCTCCAAAACAAAGAAATTAATGATGATGGATCCCTCGAGCACTAAGAACTTCGGACGTAAACTCACTCCACTCTCGGAATGTCCGGGTGGAGGGTGGGCTTGAGGGAACAACATCGACGATAAAATTTGTTTTTCGAACATCTGCGGGATTAACAGCAACATTGATGCTGTTTATCACTACCTGCAATCCAATCGTCCCGCCGTGCTTTTCTTGGCGGAGACAAACATCTCAGAGTCTGCACTGATTAACCATCTTAAGTTCCCAAACTACGAGGTGCACTCCAATCTGAGAAAGAACGGGGGAGTTGTGGCTTTTGTCCGCAGCAGTCTTTCCTGCTCCAGAGATGTTTCTTTGGAATCAGACCGGAAGGATATTCTGTGGCTTCGCCTCAACTCCAAAACATCACCCAAATTTATTTGCTGCCTTTATCGCTCTCCCTCGGACCATAACTGGGATAACCTACTCGAATACCTCGCGGTCCAGATCGACTTCCTGAACATCAATCATCCCGCTTCAGATGTAGTTCTTCTCGGTGAGTTCAATGCCCATAATGAGCTTTGGTTGGGCTCAAACAAGACCGACGCAGCAAGTCGTGCAGTCGAAGCGTTCGCTCTTACCCAAGGGCTGACTCAGCTGGTGACGAGCCCTACTTTATTCCCCCGCGTCTCGTCACACGCCAGTAGCCTGCTGAATCTCATTCTGACCACTCCTCCTGTCTCTTACAGCACTGCTGTCCTGTCCCCCCTGGGTAACTCGGACCACGGTGTTGTGGAGGTTAGGTTTCCGTCAGAACCCGCTGTGGCAGCAGAAACTCGTACAGGCCGCAAAACTTGGCATTACGGACATGCCGACTGGAAGGGGCTCAGAGATTTCTTCTCTAGCTTTCCTTGGAAATATGTCTGTTTCACTGACGCGGATGCGTCGGCTGTCTGTTCTTCGATAACCGAAATTATCCACGTCGGAATGGAGGAATACAGCCCCCACACAGTGAAAGTGCCTAGATCAGGGTCCAACGGCTGGTTTAACAAATCGTGTGACGCTGCTCGCCAGCAGAAGATCAAGGTACACAGAACCTTCTTACAAAACCCCACTGTAGAGAATAGACAAGCCGACGTTGAGTCCAGAAACAAATATAAAGCAGCGGTTCGCAATGGCAAAAACCAGCACGATATAAAAGTTAGGCACAGGGTAATGTCGCAGCGCAATGGCAGTCGGTCTTTCTGGACGCTGGCCAAGCAGATTGAAAAGAACTTCTCACACAGTAGCCTTCCACCACTTACGTGTCAGGATAGAACTATTCTATTCAACTCAAAGGCCAACGCGGAAGTGCTAGCCAAGATCTTTGCTGCCAACTCCATCATGGACGTCCCCACCAACGCCCAAGTGCCGTCAGTTCAAAGGGTTCCCTACACTATGCGGGAGGTAACATTCAGGCATAAGACCGTAAGACGAGTGCGCTTGTCGCTCGACATCAACAAAGCTTCTGATACGGACTTGATTCCTGCCATTGTACTGAAGAGGTGTGCACCGGAGCTTGCTCCAGGTCTTTCGCGTCTCGTCCAGATATCTTATGAATCCGGCACCTTCCCAGAAAACTGGAAATTTGCTCATGTCCAACCCATCCCAAAAAAGGGATCTAAGACCGACCCTTACAACTACAGGCATATAGCTCTGCTTTCTGTTTTAAGTAAGGTGATGGAGAGGTGCATAAATCGCGAGCTTCTGGACTACCTCAAACGTCACAGCTTGATTAGCGACAGGCAGTATGGTTTCCGGCACCAACGATCCACAGGGCACCTCCTAGCTTACGTCACTCAATTGTGGAGTAAACTCATCCAGTCTTATGGTGACGCTCATATGGTTGCTCTTGACATCACGAAAGCGTTCGATCAGCTGTGGCGCGCTGCCCTCTTAAGCAAACTTCCATCCTATGGCCTACCAGAAAAGCTTTGCAGATGGGTGGCTGACTTTATCTCTGGCCGCAAGATATCCGTCGTAATTGACGGTTCTCCTCTTCATCCCACAACGTCAACGCGGGTGTTCCCCAGGGATCGGTCTTGGCTCCGACACTGTTTCTCTCGATCTCTGCCGCTGAGATTAAAAAAAGAAGACTAGCGACGACTTCCTCTCTGACAAGAGACCTGGAGGCTATCACTGCTTGGGGACGCAACATTCTTGTACAGTCCAATGCTTCCAAAACGCAGTACTGTACTTTGACGAAAAGCGTTTTCGATGGATGGTCGAGTTCTGCCAAAGAGCCATTCATTTCGGCTGGTCGGAGACCGAGGACCTGATCTGGCACGAACACATCTCGTCAATCGCTGCAGCTGCTGGGCTATTTGTTTAGGGCTAACAAGTACTTTTCTCCGCATGACTTTCTCACTCTATACAAGGCCCAGATAAGGCCTAGCCTCGAGTATTGCTCACACGTTTGGGGTGCTGCCGCCCCGACTACATTATCCATGCGCGATGCTGTCCAGAGGAGGGCGGTCCGACTGGTCGATGACTCTTCTGTAACAGACAGTCTTGGGACTCTTTCGCACCGGCGGGCTGTCGGCGATCTGGCTCTTTTCTACCGTTACACCAACGGGCTTTGCTCCTCAGAGCTCTCTTCCATGATGCCGTCGCGCGATGTGCCTGCCAGACAGACGCGCTTGACTTTGGCGTCCCATCCTAACCGTGTCGGACTTCGTACATCCAGAACCGGTGTATACGACCGCTTCGTTGTCCCGAGGGTGTCGAGATTGTGGAATAATCTACAAGAGGAAGCTTTTCCCAGTTCTAGTAACCTTAGGCAGTTCAAAAATCGTATTAATAAAATTTCTTTGGGATCATCATAGCAGCCGCGGTGTTCCGGCATTTAGGCTTCTGCCTGCACGGCTGCTTCGATATAAAAAAAAGTATTCCCATAGATTTTCAATGGGGTTTATATCGGGAGACTGTGAAGGACATTTGAGAAATGGTATTTTTCATCCAGAAAGAATTTCTTTGCGATATTTGAAGTGTGCTTCGGGTCATTATCTTGCTGGAAGATTGATCTTAAGGGCATATTGTCTTCCATATAGGACAACATGACATGCTTTAGTATGTCTGTGTATATACAAACTTATCCATAATGCCATCTATTTTATGTAAAGGTCCCATCCCGAACCCCGAAACGCACCCCCAAACCATAACAGACCCGCTTCCATGTTTGACAGTGGGCAAAGTGTACTTGAGGTTCAATCTTTATCCACTAGGACGTCTAACGTAATGAACACCATCTGATCCAAACATACTGAACTTGGATTCGTCACTGAAACATACCCTCTTCCAGTCACAGATGCTCCAATCAAGATGCAACCATGCAAATTTTAATCGGTCCTTATGGTTTTTCCTCGATATTAGCGGCTTCCTACTTGGGCGACGTGCAAATAACTTCAAATCATTTATCGTCTACTTATAGTTTTCGTAGAAAGACTGGCAATTCCTTTTGTCTCGATTTCGGCTTTTATTTGTCTTGGGGTTTTAAACGGATCTTTGGACGAAATTACTTTTATTAATCTAACTCAGGGCTGTTCAACTTAATGTGGCCCAGGGGCCACTTCAAAAAAATTGCAGTTTGGAGGGCCGCATTATAAAATCTTTCTATACATCATTATTACAGAGTTAATGTAAGAATTGTGCATATTCGGTATTTGAGAGAAATTTATACATGTGATGTATACATGACCCGTGAAGCGGGCCGTATGTTGGACAGCCCTGATCTAACTGATCTAGCATTTAGTTTTCTAGGCCGACCACTTTTAGAGGCTTCCAAGATATATTTCTGTTTATATTTGTTCAATATTGCCCAAACTGCTTTACGCTTCAGCTTCAAATTTTTGGCAATGTCGACTTGACGTTGACCATCTTTGTAGGTGTATAACTCAATGATCTTAGTTTTCACATCGAAAGAATTTCTGGATCATGCGGCATGGTCTTGAAATCATTCGACTTGTTCAACAATACTTCAATACAACAATCCTCTTCTGACACGAAACTGCATATATTCAGACTTGTATTGTGTTCATTGCAGATAATGTAAAAACAAGGAATTTAGTTTTTCTACTAATAACGCATTTATTTATGGAGCAATGAAGTATGAATTCGTTTTCTAAAGGTATTTAGGTAAATATTCATATTTGTCTATATACTTTTGTCCATTACTGTATGTATGTGGCTCGCTGTGCTACCATTTTTTGTCATTCGTGAAACTACCCTTCGAGACTTTGACACCCTTTTTGAGGCCTGTTAAATACGTGTCATCAATTCTTTGCCGATCCTATAGAAGCCAATCCGCCACTACGACGATCCTAGTATGATCCCAGCAAAATACAGCATAATTGGCAAAAATATTGGTTCATACGGTGGTTCATACAGACCTAATACAATGGTTTTAATCTTTTTTCAGTGATGATAGCAATCTTCAAGAGCACGACGATGACATAATATTTGAAGACTTTGCTAGATTAAGGCTGAAGGGAGGAGAAACTGATGCATGAACGGAAATAAAGCACTGCACACTGGTCTACGTTCAGGTTCAGACCGTCCGGATATCCCGCATCAGTTTGATGAAAAAGAAATGTTCGCATTTGTATGTTTTTCGCGATATGTATGTTTGTATGCGGATGTAAACGCCTAGCATACTGTTATCGTGTGTCCTAGTCAAGCCGAGGCTCAATTTCAAGCCGCCGTACTGCACTGTCTGGCGTCCGTTAAAGAACAAGATTTACATTATCTTTTTCTCGTATGTAATGGTAAATATTCAATTGATAGAAACATACATATATAGATCTACTGTTTTTAGCTTTCTTGTGAGATTTTTTTAAATATATCACTATTTTTCTAAATATCAGTTTGAAGTCAAAGCACCATTTTGAAAACGATAATTTTGCTACTATTTATTATTAATGCGTGTATTTTATAATTAATGTAGATTTATTAGACTTGTTAAGAATTCAAAATAAATATAGTAGTTTTAACCAAAGTAACTTTGACTGTAAGTGATCCAAACATCTTTGAAAAATTGAAACTTTCTGCTAGTATTGTTATGAACTGACAGAAGCTTCGGAGCATTTAAACGGTACTTATTACCGCATCTTTGACTGGTTGCAACATGAGCCGAATTCATGGAAATCGTGGATCACTGAATGAAGGTGTTGTTTTGTATCCACATGCATGGCATACTCCAAATATCATCAGCACAAAACCATTTGAAATATTCATGATATTCCCTGAAACATCATATCCCAATAGCTGATGACATCTAAACTTTGTGATTTTTGTGAACGAACAAATTAAATTGTATAGCACGAAATGGGTTGCTAAATATTGTAGTTTTTGTACGCAAAAAGATTTTTGAAGTTCCGTTTTTCAAGTTCATGAAATACAGTGGTGGTCAAAAAAATAAGAGTGCACATTTTGAAATCCAATAATATAATTAAACGTCATATATATATATATATATATATATATATATATATATATATATATGTATATATATGCCACTTGAGCAATCTATAATCTAATACAAATTAAGAATATTGTTTTCTCTTTAAAATACAATGAACATTATAATATTAATAAAGACTTGAAAAATAAAAGTCGACAATTCAGACTTTGTGAAAATACAGGTGGTCAAAAAAATAAGAGTAAATTTAAACAATAGATAAAACAGACATAACACTGCATTTAATTAACATGTTTTTCTTTTTTTAATTAACGAGTATTTTTAGTACTAGTTCTTCAGGACAGCACCACATCTGCTTGGCATTGAGTCGAAAAGTTTGCGGCAGATTTCCAGGTATTGAACGCCATGTTTTTTGAACTTCTTCCCAAAGTAACTTTTGGTTTGTTGTCTTTTTGTGTGATATTTGATGCTTCAATTCCTCCCAAAGATTCTCTTTGGGATTCAAGTGGGGATTCTGTGGAGGCCACTTCAAAACTTCAATTTTCTTCGACTGGAACCACTGTTTTACTGCCTTTGCTGTATGCTTAGGATAATTATCCTCATCGTAGATCCAACGTAGTGTCATATTTTCCTCAGCATAAGATAGCATAACATTCTCCATTATTTGTAAATAAATTACCTTGGTCATATTTTCTTTTATCCAAAAAATAGGTCCAACGCCGGAATATGAAAAGCAACCCCATATTTTGATGTTTTCTCCGCCATGCTTAATCGTTCCTATTGTGTAGCGCGGATTCAGTTCCCTATTTGGACCTCTCTTTACGTAAATCCTACCTTCAGATCTAAATAAAATTATTTTTGTTTTATCCCTAAAAAGGACATTTCTCCTATTGCGACTGTAGGTGTCGTTTAGATTATTCCTTGAAAACTCCATTCGTTGCAGTATATGCTTTTTAGATAAAAGGGGAACTTTTCTGGCAACTCTGCCATGAAGATTCATTTCCTGCAAACGACTTCTTATTGTTCTAGTGCTGACAGATAAGCCCAACTGACCTTTCATAACGAACGAATTAGATAATGGATATCTAACAGCTTCACGAGCAATCCATTTATTCATACGTGGCGTTGTTTTTCTTGGACGTCCTCTTTTTTTTGGCTGTTTCTCAGCAGTTCCTTGTTCTTTTAGAACTTTAGCTATCACACAAGGGGCTCTTTTAAGTACACTCGAAATAAATGCGTAGGTTTTGTTTTGACTACGCACTTGTAATACTGAACGCCGTTTCGCGCGACCCATGTTGCAAAGAAATGACCCTCAATAAACTCTGCAAACACTATACTAAGCATAGAAATATTCTACTGGCTATAATGGCAAAAACATTTAACATACTTTTATTTTTTGTCCACAAAATTTCCGATACCTGATAAAACTGAATGGCCTTGACATTCGATATGTACATTTTTTATCCGCATGTAAAGCATAAATCTTTATCTTGCATAATGCACTATCCAAGAAAAAAAGTGCAACCCGACTCGGCGGGACTGTGACAAATAGTTTATTATAGGCGGATGACCATCTTAAAAGAAACACTTTTTTTAATGAAAAAAGCAGCAGAAATAACATATTAAAATCTTGAAATGTGTTTGTTTAACATGTATTACATAAATAAAGATACATACAAAAAAGTTATACGTAATTTTGAAATTTGCATTTTTTCAGAATCTGATAGACATATTACAGGCATACGTACTATGTAGGTATGTGTAAAAACCGTAAGTTTGTTGGTAAAAAAGCTAGTAATTTTCCTGTACTGTCTTCTTCTTGCTGAAAATAACGTTGCAACTTTTTCACGCAGTCTAATGCCTGCTTAGTTGTCACTGGAAGTTCTTCTTCATCGTTGTTTTCTAGTTCGTCTTCATGTTCGTTATCAACGGATCCTTCATTAACCGAATTGGAGTCTGACAATTCCCGTGTTGCTATTAAATTATTGTCAACATTTACATACTCTTTAAATTTGTCTATATTCAGTAAACTATTTTTTTGGATTAAAATCGTTGACTATTTCAGTTATGTTTTTCACTAAACCAGCATGGCGAAAACAATTACGAATCGTTTCTGGAGTTACCAATTCCCATGCAGTAGTAAGCAAATTTATAGCATCTAAAATGGCGACAGCTTATTTTTCTTTTACACTCTTATTTTTTTGACCACCACTGTATGTCATGGAAATTATAGCAAGATCAAAGCATGCTAGAATATTCCATACTTTTAACAATTTAAACATTATGCATGGAATTTAATATACGTATACTAACTTGTATGATTATAAGAGAAAAGTGTTGAATGTTAGTTTTACTTCTTATGCCAATAACCATGGATAAAATGTAAGCGCGGAAAAATCCGAATATAAGGTAATTCACACAATGCATCATGAATCAAGCAATTTTTAATCTTTCGAAAGGATTCTTTCGCGTTTCTATGATATAGGAGAGAGTTAAATGTGATATTTTCTCAATTTTCTATCGGTACATTATATTCTTAGATCGCGGTCAGTACATGGAAACGTTTGTTATCATTTAACTTTCTAGTACTACTTGTAAGAGATTTCTACGGTCACTCATAAAAATTAGAATTACAATATGTATAAACGACAATTCTCAGTTTATAAGGAAGATTTGCACAATACCGATTACGTCTAGTCCCATATTAAATTTGTGCTCTATGGATTGAAATAATAACTATGTAAAAGCTCCTGAATATGAGATGAGAAGCTTCCTGAACGTTAATGGTGAAATTTGTGAAAGTGACAAAATTATGCAAAATGTCAACCTGTGTTTTTAAAAAGGTATCCTCCAATTTATTTTTTGAAGGGATCAAGTGAGAAAGCTGTAATTCTGGAAGATGAAGTTGATGCATAAACACTATGTTTTAGCTTAAAAGTGACAGTTAAGTGCGCCATAATAAAACAGTTTTTTAATTGCAGTGGGGGATCATGTGATACCTACATTTTGAAGCTCCTACTTTATTACCCTAGAGTGTAACTATATTTTAGAAAAGTTCAGCGTTTTTGTACATTGAACTGCTTATAATTCAACACAACGCTATATATAGTATGTTGAATCAATCTTTGTTTGGAAGGATTTATTTAAAATATGTGACATTCTGTTTGAAAAGGCAAGTTTTGACTTTTTTTTAAACAGAATATTTATTACATATTTGCACAGACCCTTGAAAGGAAATAAGCTTGATATAACATAAGTGATTCAGTGTCCAGAACACTCGACATTTCAAAAATCCTGATTTTGTATTACAGGGTCTCTCATAAGTAGCTGCAAAAGTATCCCATAATCTACCATTCGGTTGGAAAAAATATTCGAGGATAGCGCTCTCCCATCATTTTCGCCTGACATTCTTAGTGATAAACGGTTTACCCCGAATTTCAGCTTGCTAACCTATCTCTTTTAAAAAATTAGTTTCAAAGACGCTGTATATAAAATTAACAGGCTTACTAACCTTTTTATTTACAGTAACAAAAATGGTATGAGAATTAGCAGAACTAGATAGTAAAGTAAATTAGTAAGAAAGATATCCTTAAAAATGGCGTTATGGAGCTACAGGGTCATTTGTGTCTGACATTTGATTGAACTATTTTGTCAGTTGTAAATAAATTGTGATTTCTAAATACATACAAATTTCATATAAATTACTCCCCTAATTGTAGAATCCATGTCCAAACTAACAATACAAAAATCGATCTTTGAAACATTTTATGATAAAACCGATATTTTGAACTTAAAACAATGTGTATAGGAAACTGAAATATAACAATGGAAATCTGTTAAGGTTTTCTACAAAGCTGGAAATTGAAACGTTTTCAAATAACAGTGTCGCCATTAAGTGTATGACTCCAAAGCTTCATATCTATTGTACTAAATCAATGTTTTCCATGTTTTCATGTTTAGGATAAAGCTCTGATTGTGTTGATTTTAATTGGAATGCTTTTTGGGATTGCCATATCGTTTTACAAACTATTGATGGTAAAATTCATGGTCTTGTTCCCTTGGTTTACTATTCGCTCCAAAATTCCAGCAATTGCTCCACATTACATATACCTAGCAAAATCTTTTGGCAGAAATACTGCATCGCGAGGTTTTGTATTTGTCGCTGTATTTGCATTCAACTAAAGTTGAACAACCGATACACTAAAGTTTTGTTGGTGAAACCAAGTAAACAGACCCAGTAATGACAGTCCACAGGGTGTAAAGAAATTAACGCAGACTGTTAAGCAAAGACGAAAAATATTTACATAAGAATTCAAATTTTATTTTAACGTTTTTTTTTTTACTTCTAAGGTGTTTTTCATGATTATCTAGAATTTATTTTAATTTTGATTGTAAAGGATTAGTTTACTTTCGATATGAAATTACTTTAAAGTTGCTGTCGATGATCGAGCAACAAAATAGAATGTTTTACGTTATTTTTGATTACGAGGTTTATGATGCCTCTGCTGTACTAGTTTCTTTAGTTTTTCTTTGAGTGTGAAAAAGTTTTATGCACCCTGTATGCGCAGTGAGCCAGAATTACCAGATTAGGTATTCATAATATTCATGTTGCAAGTTAGCTATTTTATGTATTTAAAAAGTCAAAGCATTGTGAAATATGATGAGAGATTGTCAATTTGTAATTTAAGTTTTACATGTTTAACTAGATGTAAAATTTTATATATGTTCCTTATACTGGTTATAACAGATAAAATTATAACACTTTGCAAATAGTGAAACAAACTTATGAATATAATCTTATGACACTACCTTTACTGTTATCATTCAAAGTCTAGGTGTCCAAATGAGGTATTGTGACTTATTAAAATCGCACTTGGCATACTTCACGACAAACTTGTGTCTGCTTACATTTTTTTCTAGTATAGTAATTATATGATACAAGACTTCGACGCGAAGCCTCAGCCCCCACCTCATTCCAGCGCCCCGCATATCCACAAGCTAGCCAATGCATCCAGACTGTATGCCTGCACTTCACTATCGGCGATGATCGTTGATCATTCATAATAGGCACGATCATCGTGCATCCCAGCGTCCGTAGTACAGGTCGACAAATCCAGCTTGAGCCGCGACATGCGCAGAAAACAGAGTGAGACGGTGGATGTCTGAGAGAAACGGTAATAGCCGACGGACATACAGTATGGGAAAAACCATTATTATACATTATGATGAGGAAGAGAGATGGAAATATACAAAAGTATGTAGGTGCGTGAAAGACACGACGGGGTAAAGTAGAAGAGTGATAAAAGAGAGAGATGGCAGAACCGGCGTTGGCGCCTACCGCTTAGACGGATGCGCTCAACAAATGCGATTTGTTTCTCCAATTCGCAGAGTTGCCGATACCAATATGTCAGATTTCTAAGAAATCTAAGTCTACCCAAATTATAAATAGCTGCGGAATTTCACATAAGAGTATTCCAAAAATGAAAAAAGTTCAAACTATTAAAATTGTATTAATGTTTCATGGTTCAAATCATATTTTTCATGTTTGTATATTGTTGTATAAATGATTTTGTAATCCCTATTCTTGTTGCCAGTAGAGATACAACAGTATTGAGAGAAATCATGGACCGCTAGATAGGGATACAACTACCATATGACTATCAAATAGTAGTGATAAACAGGGTTTGTTTATAGCACAGTTGCATGGTGTGGCGAATTTGCGCCATAGGGGCGATTTGACAACTTTGAAGGACAACTATAACGGTTACTATGGTGCCCGGTATTCGGGAATCTGGCAATACCTGATGATTCCTAACGTTTATTACGCCAGATTGTTTGCTGACTTGCGCAGTACAACATGACAATCAACGTGACTGAGCACCTGGTAACCCTGGTTTAAGGTGTTATATTTAAAGAGCTTGGAGCAGTTAGGTATCTAGGTCACATTTTTTAATGTATTTCGAGAAATCCGTAATGTTGAGTAAATGCTAGATCACGTTTCTTGCTTAGTTTGCTGAAAATTCTACAATAGACGTACATTTTGAGAAACAGAGATTTGGTGACGACAAAATCGTAAAAATATAACGCATTTTCGTAAAATAATTTCTTTGTTGAAAAGACTGTGGCTTGATGACCCATTGAAGGAGTATAGTGTCCCGCTCCGCTTTGAATATTCGAAACACTATACTCCAGCAGCATTCAGCTTCAATGTTATCTTTATGAAGTTCTAACGTCTAGGCCATGCAGATTAAAAGCTTGAATGAATCAACACTTAACTCTAAATTCCCCACAATTCGGGAAGCTCTACTCAAATTGGCAACACAGCGTATCTGCCTATTATTCTCATTCGTGATACAGGTCTGCGGTTAACGGTAGGAAATATGTACGAATAGCGATGAAAGTAGACGAGCCGATGCGCTGTTGCGAAGAAATGATTTCCCATGTATAACAATGGTTTTTCCTAAGGTGTAGAAGTACAGTCGACGCAGCAAGTTCAGTTACAGCGTGCCAATTCCTGGTATTTCATTTAATTTGATGAAAGACTACCTATTTTACGATTACAATTCGCCCTTCGTAGACAACCCCGTGACTTCGCTTACCAACTACACTGAGATAAATTTATAAAAGACATCTGAATTTGGCATTTCCGGAACTGGAACTAACTTTTCTTCCAACCACCTTTTGTAATTGTCAAAATTCATCTCATTATGGTAATCTCTTGACTTTACGTAGATTTCCATCTCACATACGCATTAGGTATGAATCAATTTTCACTGCCGGCATGGAAAATAATCAATCTGTCCCCTTTGGATACCGGTTTTTTATGCCTTCAGTGGAGCTATCTACCCAGGTTTTGGGGTTTGTATGGGAAGCGTGTATACAGGGTGACTTCGAAGTTGAGTCATTTATTTTAACAGTGAGTAGATCTGATCAAAAGAAATGTTTTTTTCCTTTACCATTTTTCTGGTAAAATTAAAGTAACAAAGTTATAGCCCTTTGGAACTTTGAGTACCGCCCTGTCTCAATAATAATATTAGGTACTCGTGTTTGGCGACAACGGATATAATCCGCCGTATCGGTTCATCGCATCGGAAACAAAAAAGCGAAAGAATTTGGAGCGATGTTTTTACAAGTATCTCAGTCATTTGTATACAGTCAGTGTTAGTGAAAGTGGTATCTGTTGCGTGGCTCAAACGAAATAAAAAATGGCACATGTTTATGCGGATCGGTTTCCCAATCGAGTGCAACCAACCCCTAGTGCCTTTGTTAATGTAGTACAACGGGCTCGTGAATCAGGTGACTTAAGACCTCACAGGGGACCTCACGATCAAATACAGGTCCGCACTGAAATACTTGTCGGGAGGATACTTTATAAAACAAGGTAAAAAATTTTTTTTAATTTTTTTTTTTATTTTTACACACATATTTTGGTTTATCTTCCTTCTACAATCATTATCTGAAAATTAATGACTCAACTTCAAAGTCACCCTGTATATGTCTCGTCAGTATAGATCACTGGACGTCCTTGTCTATATTTCTGCATACTCCTGAAGAACATTATACGTAAATGGCGGATTTCTGGTTTTTCCATTAATAGCTTTCTATTGGTCTCAAATTTTTCCCACTTAGACCCTAATTTATGAATTTCTTTACGCAATGTTTCTCTGCTTCCTCGATATCCTACTAGCCCAATTATCTTCCTGGGTACACATTGCAAGGTAGGCACACACGTTTTTCGGTTACATGAAAGTTTATTATTGTTCTTCGTCACAAAATGAAATTGTGCTATTCTCTTGTATATTTAACGCTTCCTTTTTAATGCGTTTGATGGGACTCATACTGACACCTGTAGCTGCAGAGACCCGTTCTTGTATCTATAATTTACAATAGTTTTGTATAAAAAAAGACCCATTTTGTACACAGGTTTTGATATGCTATTCAACCAAGATGTTGGGTCTCACCGCTGCTCAAATGGGCAAGTAATTCGTGAACAATTCTCTGTCATATATATATATACTCATCATGAAGGCTAACGATAATTTGAAATCTTTCTGTGATAAAGTACTATATTGTACTTTCATTAATGGTTTAAACTATAAGCAAAATTCCGTGAACGAACATAGGCATTTTAGACAAAGTCTTCTCAAAGCAATTTATTATTCATTGTTGCTTAAATTTTCGAATCTGCATAATAATAATAATCATAGTAATAATCGGAATAGTAATTGTAATTTATTGTAATCGTAATTATACTTAATCTGTGTAAAGGAACAGCCACTCCATTTTCAGCCTCATTCTGCATGAATCTCAATACCGAAGCAACAATTTCTCGGCTTTGACCACTTAAGACTTTATTTGCAACTTTACTTTCAGAACCTTCGAGTATAAATTAAAACAACCTATAGCTAACGCAATTCAAATTTTTACTGGAGGTGTACCCACGATACTACCTCAGTCGCTGTTAGTTTGTACTGGGATGTCCCCACTACATTCCGCCGTGTCTACCACGCATCTGACCTTGGGAGACTAAGCTAGATTTGTCAAACGGCAAGCATCGATATGACCCGGTGATTCCTTTTGATGCGTGTCCGAAAAAACGACAATTCACGGGTCGAACGCGATCATAGACGATGATCGGCGAGTACAGCCGAGTATGCCCTCTACACCTACACGATCGTGCTCGCTTCTGAAGAGGAGCCTTTACAGAGAAGCTGTGTTCTCGGATTTATGGCTTTTTAACTACCGCCTATAAAAAATGTAAATAGATACTAAACGTTTATCGTGAACTATAACATGGAAATGTTCTCCCTTGAACGGTTCTTGGGGGTAATATGTATCTTGAACAGTCATATTGTCTTTTTTGTGACATTATGTCGGTTTACCTACATGGTGTGAACTTAGAACTAGATATTTTTCACTTGATGTGCACTCGTTCTGTAGCTGTACGTGTTGCGTAAACGTCATGACGCTTCAGCTATCAACGTTTGGCTCTGATGTGATGTAACATCTGCTTCAGAGATGGCATTACTGGAGGTTGTATACTATAGCTGGAAGGAAACTCTAGTCCATAGCTGCATAGTGAGGATTTAATAATATGTGTTGGTGATAATTGCATTGAATTCTTTTCTCAAATATACTTACTTGAGATGTATGCAAAGATAGAAATTAGTTGCGCATCCACTTTTCCTCATCCATCCTGGAAATTACATATGCAAATTTGATGGATTTCAAAAATAATCTAATAAAAAAAGAAAATCCCTGGTTGATGAATTACAACCAAATGAGAAAATATGCAACAGACAGCAATATTAAACGTGAAAAAGTTATTACATTATACGAGGAGGTACCAAAATACCAAAAAAAAAAAAACGAATAATTTTTTTAAAAGCTATTTTCAACTTTTTCACAAAGTAACTTTATCTCCTTCAAAGTACTGTCCACTACAACTATACACTTATCCCACCGGTGCTTCCACTGCTCGAACCATTTTTTGAAGTATTCCTTAGAAATGTCTGACAGCTCCTCCATCGTTTTTTTGGGCTGTGCGCGGAGGTGCATTATCGTGGTGGAACAACCGGTCTCCTGACTGATATAAATCGGGTCTTTTTGGCCCAACACCGTTTCGAAATCATCTTAAAACCTCAAAATAAAAGGTCTGATTGACAGTGTGACCTAGGGGAACAAACTCGGGATGGATTACGCCTTTGACATCAAAAAAACAAATCAGAATTCTTTTGATGTTTGATTTGACTTGACATTTTTTTGGACGAGGTGACGATGGCGTCTTTCAGTGAGTTGACTGTTGCTT